CTACTATGAATCTGTAGAAATAAACTCGATCATATTAGATACCTCGTCTCTAGCAAAAATAATTTCGCAACGATTTACTCAAGATTTTATACACACCTATGTTTATGAAAAATGATAAAAACCATTGCGGAATTGGACATGATCATAATCAAGACTTCCGAGACGTTAAGCGCCCAATCCTGAGCGGTAACATTATCCAGTACTACGTCAGGAAGTGGTCCATACGTGTTTCTGTCTGGAACGCGCTCGTGTACCATCGCGAGGGAAGCCGTCGTCAGTATGAAGTTTACGACCATAAAGAGAAATGCTGTAACGGAAAGCAACTTGATTATTACATATATCCTTCAACATTCTCTCCATTCGAATATAATTATCGTGCCATTTTCTTTTTCTCTATCGTTGCTTTTTCCGTTCTTTCGTCTGCCAGTACTCGGGAGAATAACGCGGTATTAATCGATTCTGTCACGCAACGACGATCCGCGCAGAGTAACAAAGTTACGAGGCGTAACGGGACTTGCAAAATCCGCTGCATTTCGCGTAACAACAGCGAACTCGATCCAGTACTCGCCTCGATTAACTTTGCTGCAAAAAGTTATCGAGATAAATCGTGCAAGCTCGAAAGAGGAAATCGATCGGAGGGTCGATTCTCTATGAGAGTAAATTACGCGAGCAGCGCGATGTATCAAACGAATACCAGGCCATGTAACGACCTCGATCTCCCCGTTGCAAACGAACATCACGTACACGGAGCCAAAGGCTCCGAATCCGGGGGAAATAACCAGCGAGTTTCTCGATTTTCACTTAGAAAATTGTTTGCTGATTCTCGTTCTATTTCTATTGCAATCAAGACACCCAGTAAAAATTGAAAAAATTGATATAGTTGGTGGATCGACCGCATCGAGAAAACTATTCCAACATTTTTTGGTCCATTAGATTAGATCGACAGCATTTGGTATGACTTTGGTATTGACTCAAAACCGTGCATACGTTTTATTGTTTTAACAATATATTGTTTGACGATCGAAATATCTATTTATATTCGCAAAAAAATCCTAGAAGTATATAATTTCTAAAATTTATTTCAGAAATTATTTCATAATTATATATTCTTATAAATTTACGACAAAAAATTTTTGAGATACAATCGCGAAAGGATAAATATCGATAAGGCCTGATTTTGGCCCCCCTCAAATTTTGATACCCCACAGTATCTATGCCATATATAATACTCCAGAAATTAATATTTTCAATGTGGCAGGTATTATCAAAGTATACGAAATGATATAAGATTGTCAGCATCAAATGCAGAGAGAATTATGCCTTTCTGAAATGATTCCGGTTATTCTGCAACATAAATTATTTTTTTCAAGATACTTAGGTACGATAATACCTGCCACATTGAAAATATGTAAATTTCTGCGGTATATATGGCACAGGCAACGTGCCCCGTTCCATCACGTCCGTTTCAGCTCAAAACACTTGAGATGAATGTAAACTATTTTGAGAGATACATTTTGAGAGACGTGGCGCATCAAAATTTGAGGGAGGCCAAACTCAGGCCTCATCGATATCCTTTGCCTCATCCTTTGTTTAAAAAATTATTATGATAAAATAAATTACTTTTTCTTGAAAGAAAAGATAATATTGCAATTTTAGTTTGGATTTTAGTGAACAACAGTATACATATATACATCGACTCAATCATTGACACAAACGCAAGATGCCAATACAGATTGGCTACAGCAACATTAATTTTTTTTCAGCTCTTTGGAAGTCTTTGAACTTTTACTTTAACTTTTCATGTAACTTTGTGTTTCTTCTAGAGAAAGAATAATTTTTTAAAGCGATGGCTTTCGCACGTTCTCTTACCGAGAAACGTTTTCCACTTTTCCTTGGGGAATCGCGGCTCCTCGCGAAGCGGTGCCGGCATGTCGATCTTGACGATGCCGCCGCTGGAGCCGTTCGGTATTCCGGAATGTCTGCCCAGCCCTTCGATACCCTTCTCATCTTCATCGTCCTCGTAGTAGTCTGACCCCGAGGCCACTCCGGACCACTTGTCCTTGCTCTTGGACAATGGTGCGCCGGGCAAGAGCGGTTGCCGTTGGTAAACATCGCTGGACTGCGCCATCCCGCTGCTGCTTCCATCAACCGCCTCAACGTCCCCCTCGTGGCCCTCCCCGGCGCCCAATGGTCGATCGAAACTTCCGTAATCGTTATGCAAACTAGTGGCCTTGGGATCTAATACCATCCTGCACAGAACAGAAATCAACTTGTTCTGATCGACAAATTCGACTCTCGAAATACGCTTTATAGGTACCAGGAAACGTAATCATTGTATCTCAAAATCTCGTTCGGCTATATCAATAATCATAATCAACGATGAAATGCAACGGCGAAAGGCAAGGAAAACGAGTCCGTAGACTTGAAGAAACGGAGCTGACCTTGATTTACGCGCTACTCCGATGACGTGGAAGAATAACCGACCTATTGTTGAATCTAAATGTGCGTAATAAAAAAGCTACTTTGCGCGTCCACATGTGAAGAGTAAAAGTAACACTATATATCTATCTATATATCGACTACTATCGAATTATTCTCGTCTTATAACATCGCGTGATGTAATCTTTCTGATGATTCTTTAATCATCTCGAAGATATGACGCTTTCATAAAATTCTTTTCCTTCTTTTTCCTTCATCTAGAGTGATTTTTTCTCATTACCTGAAAATCAAAGTTTATTCGACTAAATTGTCACTTGCCCAATGATCGACGCGCACCGATAAAACTGAAATTACACATCTGCGAAAGATGCACATTTATCCGAAGCGTCACGCCCCGTGAAGCGAAATATTTTTAGACATTTACCGCGCCGTGTAAAGGGAAAAGGTTATCCGCGCAACTGGAAAGAAAGTGCGGATTCTAAATTCGAGAGCTGACGAAAGCCGTTCACCGCAACCGAATGAGATGACTGTCTATTTGCGGATAGAGCCACTCCACGCGCAATACGACAATCGTAACCGGAAACGACATAGGATGCGGTAGAATACGGTAGGATGCGGCCCTGCCAGAACTAATATTATTATCCAGGGACCCACAATCGAAGTAACGATCAGTCAAATGAGATTATTCAATGTTCAACGGCGATCAATTGCCCTAAGAAAAAAATTTTTATTCTCCTACGTAAATTTTTTATCACTACTACGTTTGCCCTTTTGCTAATGTCGCGAGATGATTGACGATTGAAACGACAAGTATTCGGTATACAATTCTCGGACAAAAAATGTTTTCATTTTCTTACGTAGTATCATTATGTCGAGCCTCTCCTTTTACCTGCGCCTCGTGCACATCGCTCGGCATTTCCGAAAACATTTATGTCACTGTGAACGCAACGCGACGTTTCGTTCCAGACGCGAACTTTTGTCGGACCATGACCAAACGCATTCCAACGGAATGCATCGGCTGCCGGCCGCGCCGCGCCGGTGGGTATAATATACGCGTTGCTTTCGATTGGCGAACGGGTTATACCGCGTGTCGGGATGTGATGTGTGTGTTCACCCGTGACATAAATGTTTAACATCAAGGACCGTGCTTAACGCGACACGTGATTTCGTGGGAAAGGTAACGGCTGTGCCGGATACCTCTGTCCAACAATTCGACCTGATACGATAAGGCTAACTAATTGTAAGTATCGTCCACGTTTATTGAACAAATTATGGTTCGATGATGCAGAAAATGGTTGTTTGCGTTCATTATAGCCTAGGCTTACAATTAGAGCACTCGCGAGAAGTGATTCGTGATTATACAATTGTAAATGTATTTTTCGATCAGTCGAGAATATCAATATAATTTAAACCAAAATCTTCGAGAGATTCTCAAAATAGATATATTACAAAATCTTACAATTAGATACATATGTATATATGTATATATAAATAATCTTTTGAAAAAATAATATCGTGTTAATTTTTACGTACTGTAAGTGCCATTAAAAGATTACGTTAACTCTTTGCCCTTCAAGTGCTAATCTGATTAACTTTAAGAATTTTGTTCTATTCCACATGCCAATTCAATTATGAATAACGGCAAAATTGTGCTTAAAAAATTGTATAACGTTATTTATAACGTTATAATATTATTTCTTCTGAATATAAATAAATATAAAAATATACAATATATATACTTATTATAAATCAGCACATGAATTAATATTATAGCACGCGAAATAAATTGTCAACGCGATGTGAAAATACGTAGAGAATAAAAAGTTAATGGATTTTTAATTTCAAGCTCGGTTTATTGCGAAGATATGGAAATGTTACAAAATTCTAAAATCGTCGTCATAGATAGCCACGTTCCTTGACATTTTCGCTGAAGAAAAGCCTCGAATTATTCGAAGAAACCACCTTTGCAAGGTAATCAAGATATAGGACACCTATATACAATACGGTTCTATTTATGACTTGGCGTAAAAATGCGAGTTTTCAGAATGATCCAACATGATTGTGCCCAGAAGACCTTTCGCGCGAAACGTCAAGAAACGGATCCCCAAGGCGGATATTACTCATACGAGGCTAAAAGGCGAAATTCTCGGAATGCGACTTTTGAGTTCGTCCGATAAATCATATGGAGCGAGAATTTTCTCATCTCGATAACGATGATCCTTTTGACCTTTTTGAATTAGCGACTCATGATGGGCGATTATTTTCGGGCGGAAAAGAGTCTATGAGTTATTACAATTAATTAATTAATCCCGACATCATTCTCATAGATTGGAGATTTCGTGTTGTAAACGAGTTAGAGGAAAAATGAAAGGATACAGTATACACGCAAGAACTTGTTAAAAAGAACAGTCCATTAATCCTTGTTTATGCGCGCAACAGTCTGTTTTATGCTTTTGGGAAAGAATACGAAACATTAATAATTTTAATTGCGTTAATTGAAAGTCTTTTACTTACAAAATGCTTTACAAGATTTTATATTTTTTTTAAATTGTCGATAAAATTATGTAATTTATCAATGTAAATTGTAAAAAACAAATAATCTTATGTTTCAGTTATCTTTAACTTATAGTATATAGAAGTATACGTTTAATCTTGATACCTCAAATTTGTAATTACAGTAAATCTCATAGTTTAAAAAAAAAAGATTCCGTAATTATAACATCTACTAAAAAATTAGTAAAGCTACTATGTAAAGGTGTTTTAAAACATGATTATAATCTTACTCGCATAACGATGCGAGTTATTACGTATACTGCTATATACATCCTACTTACCGCCCAATATCTGCGCTTTATATCATGTTTTTTATACTATACTAATTAATTCGCAAAGTTCATTAATACTGCGTACACAACCTAGCACATAAATCATGAATTTGTGTTAAACTTCTGTAAAAAGAAGAAAATCAAATTATGTAAAAGTTAATCAATGAAAATAGATAATATTTTATAAAGCAATAACAATTCTCAATTCCAAATTTGCAAATTAAATATCAAATATCTGAAATGTTTTTAATGCACACATATCTTTTTAATTACTAAATTTTATTAACTCTATAATTATATGCTTCTGAGACACTATGTATAGAGAATATGGTACTTGCGATAATATCAGTTCTTAAAGGCGGATTATTTACTTATTTAGTTAGATATTTACTATTCTAAGGTCCTATATGCCAAGTATGCAGAAGTTTCAATAACTTCCGTAACAGGTGAATATTTTCACATAACTATGTTCGAGAACATATGACACTATCTAGCGGTTCATAATCCATTAGCGCGGAAATACGACAAAACTTTGCCATAGCTACAAGCATAGTTATCAGTTATTGTCTTCTTCTTCTTTTACTACTACTACTACTACTACTACTACTACTACTACTACTACTACTACTACTATTACTAGTCTGCCGTCGCGTCACTATGTCCAATTGCAACACTGTTTAATGCTGTGAAACACGATAAGCACAGCTTGTCGATACAAATATGATGTCAATATAAATGCAACAATGCTCAGAATTTCTAGACAATTCTATAAGCACAATAATTTTATTTATTTCGCGTGAATTGCTTGAAAAAATTCATATGTATGTATGTATACGAATATACATATATTATATCGATAAAACTTATCATAAATATATCACTTATTGATAATAGACACTAAAGTCTGTATTGCGTTTCAACATTACTTTGCAAACAAATATTTTTCTTACGACTGAGAAATATTCGAAAAAAAAAAGCTATACGAAGAAAATTTTTTTTATTTCAAGAGCTTCTATTTAAAAAAATTCTTTTTCAAAATTTGTACATACTATTTGAATAATATGTAAATACACTAATGTTTAATAAAGAAATAAATGTGATTTATGACTCGTTAATTAATATCCAATTCAAGGTACACAAGATATGGAATTTATTAATTCAACATAACCCGAAATATAATTTACGACCTAATCATATATATTATCTCGCAAAGATCGATTATTCGTATTTTTCCGTAACATAATTACTCAAATATGACTAGCACGATGTTATTCCTATCTATCCTAATATTTATCGTCGCGCAAAAGCAATCGCAATAACTGAAAAATTCAAAGCCTGTGATTTTAACTGCAATATTATATTAGTATAGTATGTCCGCTATCCATCTGAGCTTTTCTAAATTGCTTCAAGAAGCTTCAACAAAAAAAGTCATCGAATTTCTAAATTCAGAATAATATATAACTCTTAATTTTTAAATAAAAAAACCTCGATAATAAACATTAACGTACGAGACAGTAAAAAATTTAATTTTTATTTTATATTAAATCTATTTTATTAGATTTCATATTTTCCACAGTTTTGAAAAGATTCTACATTTTAGAATTAGTCGAGAAATTGTCTGAATGTTATAGTACAGATCAATTACATTAGCTTTATTCTTTTCGAGATAAATACACTTATCGGTTTCGTGACCACAGGGTTACGGGAACCAGGGGAGATCGATTGAGGGTTCAATCACCGCTACTCAGACACTGTTACAACAAGCTATATCAGAAAACTAATGAGATTTCTACAATCATGTTGTTATATGCATTGGAATGACTCACATTTGTGAATAATTTACAACGCAATTTGTTCGAAGAATGCTATTGATTATTGCACACATTTTACGAAAAAGTCTCAAATGAGTCTCAATTCTTTTAGCGAACCGGACAATATTCGAGAAACGACTGAACAGCACAAGTGTTAGTCGAATATTTTTTTAC